TGTAATTCTGTTAATAATTCGTGACAAGTAAAAGTGTGACGAATAAAATAAATAGTGAATAAGATTTGAACATTGTGAAACATTAATTGACAAGAACATAATGTCAAATAATATAGCACAGCAAACTGAATAGCGAAGGCTACATCGATGAATGAAGTGCAAACAAATTCGGTGGGCCTGAGCTGGTGGGTATTTCATTTATGGTAGACCCCATAGTTACTATAGGCCTGAATTCTTCCATTATGGTCAAATCCAGCGGTCCAATTTGAGATCTTGGGTTTTATACTTATCTTTCTTGATATGGTAATCAAACAGATCATGGACCAAAATTTTTGCGCACTCATTGTTGGGCTTGGGGCCTTGTGGGGGGCTATAATTAAAAAAAGATTTGTAGAGTGAGGAACAGAAGACTACCCTGTTGGGCAGGGGTAAGGGCCCAAAATTAAAAAAGAATAATGTTATAAAAATAATCTTTTTATATTATTTTTTTATATAACTTTCACTTATTATTAAATGAATAGATATATTTAATATCATGAGTCCTATATAAATTAAAAAAACCAATCACTTTAATAATACATCAGATTGTATAAAAAAAAAGGGACAAAAAAGTTGTACAAAAATCATTTCCCAATTAAAAAATAAGTATCCAGACTAATCACTTGTTTCACTTGTGCTACCATTCAGTTTTTGTTTTGTTTTGTTTTTTTCGTTTTTTCATCTGATCAACGTTCCAGCTTGAATATTCCTGTTGCAAATCTTCACTTGACAGCTTGAATATTCAATTTTGGGCATCTCCCAAAATGATTGAATTCAATTATGAAAACAAAATTCATTAGTTGAGTTGAAGATTTATATTAATTTTAAAGAAATTTGCTTTGATTATTTAATACAATAATCTTAATTATTAAGGGTAGAAATAGAGAATCAAGTACAGAAAATTAGTTTTTAACTACTTAGCATGTATAAGTCATATAGTATGTGCACCTGGCACTTGAGGCCTAGTGGCAATAGCCATTCCGGTGCATTCCCCCTTCTCCGGGCTGGGTTCGAAACCCGCCCCTTGCAAATATGTTCAAAAAAAAAAAAAAAAAGTCATATAGTATGTAGATTAGGTGAATTAAAGGATAAAAAGAGTTGCCGCAAATTTTGTAATTCAAAATTACAAAAAAAGTTAAGTGTGGAGTTAGTTTTATGCAAACTTAATTAGGAATGAAGGGAGTAAATTCTAAAATGTGGTTAGCTTTTTCTTGAAGTGTAGCTTAAGACATCCTTTCACTGATAATTTTTTGGCAACCACTGAATATGAAAGTTGAGAAGTTTTATTTTGATTACAAATACTGACAAGAAGCATCACAAATTCTTGACAGGAGAATTCTAGAAGAGTATAAGAGGTAGAAAACAGCAAATGACTTTGTAGATACTATGGTATGAAAGATGTAAATTCATGGTTTGTGGTAAACCAGTTGATCACTGCATGCATCTCACTGTCCAGCTGCAAATGCCTCCACTGGGAATGTCTTTGTGATCCCAGCAAGGCTCTTGAAGTGAATCTTTCCAGTGGGTGGATCATCCGCTACAATCTCACTCACTGGAGGCCAAAGCACGAGCTCCTTAGCCTTCACTCCCTTAAGCTTCTTGATCTGCTTCTTGCTTACATAACCAGTTATTCGAGTGTCATAGCTAACAAGCTTGCTGTTCATCTTGAAATTGTACTCTACCTTCTTATTTTGCAGGATTCACATGTAGCCAGTATTCCTCACAAACCCGACCTCGATGACATATGCAAGAGGGAGAAAGTCCAAGAGGAAGCCCAAACTCTTCCAGAAGAGAAACTGCCATTTTAATTCCTTCATCGTGGCCCTTCAATTCTTCACTATTCCTCCTTCCTTCTCTGCCATGGTAAGTGAATTTTCAAACCTTTAATTATTCATTGGAATTGTGAACTTAGGCATGAGATGGGGAGCCTATTAATACAGGCTGCAAGAAGTATAGGACAAATATAATTAGAAGAAACCGATGTGACTGCATTGTGTTAATCACCAGGGTCAGCTTGATTTTTTTCACAAACAACCGCCCCTTTGTTTTATTCAAAGGAATAAACTTTTCTGGGTGTTGTTTGTTTGATCTTGTTTGATGAATTGGCATTCCATGTAGTAAAAAAAAAAAAAAGACAGACCATAGAGACATAAAATACCATTGAATTCATGTTGGGACTGGGTTTGTTAAGATGTGAACATAATAATTTAAATTATTTTCGCACTATTGTAAATATTTTGTGTTTTAGAATATTCTCTTTATATATTTTATACCTTAAAATATTTTTTTTATAAACACCTATATATAGGTCATTGTACATACAGTATTATTCAAGAAAACAATAAACATTTCTTCAAATACTTCTCCTTCTTTTCAATTTCTAACATGGTATTAAAGCAATAAGCTCCTGGCTTTTCTTTTATCACTACTTGGTTATTGAGTTGGATTCTCATATTTATTCCGGATCTAAAACTTTGTCATTAAATTCTCTTCTCCTACAATTTTGATCCTGGAATCTATTTCTTCATTTTTTGGAGATTTTTTTTTAGCATTGTAAGTTTTACTAATTCTATGACGAGTTTTGAAAAAAACTGTGACTCATCTTGCTGCTATAATGGTTGCCAAAAAGGTGATAGACCAACCTATTGTTAACCTTGAATCTCTAAAACAAGTAATAGTAAATCTTCTTAATGCCCTTACTACCTTATCTGCTGTTCCAGGTACTAAACCTTGGTATTTTGATTCTAGTTGTTGTAATCACATGTCTTCAACTACTGCTTATTTCTCTTCAATGTCACCAAATAATTCCTTTCTTGACATTTATTCTGCTGATGACTCCCTAATGAATGTTAGTCACATCAGTAATATTTCTAAAAATTCATTGACTTTACCAAACGCTTTCTTGGTTCCAAAACTTAGTTATAATCTTTCATCTATTCATCAGTTATGTGATCTTGGCCTTGAAATAACTTTCTCTACTCATGGTTGTCGTGTGCAGGACCCACAAACAGGACAACTTCTTGGAACTGGTGGTAAGGTGGGGCGTCTGTTTGAGCTCAATTATTTGCATATACCTCATCATAAAATGGATACACCATCATTTCCAAATGATTGATTCATTCAAACCCTACTTTGTACTGCTAAATTAAAGTATTTGCAAATTCCATATCAACAAATCTTCCAAGCCTGTATTGCTACTAATATTTCTCCTCTTCATTTATGGCACTCATGGCTCGGACACACCTCAGTCGGTAAACTCCGTCCTCTTATCTCTCGCGGTTTATTAGGATCTGTTCCAAATGAATCATTAAATTGTGTGTCATGTCAATCTGCAAAACAATCAGCTTTATCATTTACTAGTAGTCCTTCTCTTTTTATTGCTTCTTTTGATCTCGTGCATTCTAATGTTTGGGATCCATCTTTGACACCTACCATGGGGGGATCCAGGTACTTTGTGTTATTTATTGATGACCATACTCATTTGACTTGGATATATTTTATGAAAAATTGCTCTGAGTTACCATAAATTTATATTGATTTTGCTACTATGATCAAAACCTAGTTCTCTAAAATTATTAAAGCTTTGAAAACTGACAATGCCACTGAATATCTTAGTACTAAACTTCAATCATTTTTAAAAGAACAGGGTACACGGACACAACAATCTTGTCCTTACATTCTGAACAAAATGGGCCAGCCGAACGTAAACATAGACACATCCTTGATTCTGTTTGTGCTTTGCTCATTTTGTCTTCTTGTCCAGAGTGATTTTGGAGTGAAGCTGCTCTTACAGCTATTTATCTCATTAATCAAATTCCATTATCGATCGTCAATAATAAGTCTCCATATGAATGTTCACATGATATTCCTCCTGCCTATGATCTTCTTAAGGTTTTTGGTTGTGCTTGTTTTGTTCTTCTTCCACCTCATGAACATAATAAGCTACAGCCTAAAACTCGATTATGTTGTTTTTTGGGTTATGAGATTACACATAAAGGATATTGTTGTTGGGATCCTATGTCACAAAAACTTTAAGTCTCACGTCATGTTGTCTTTTAGGAACACACTATGTTTTCCTCATTATCAAACTTCCAAGTGTCATCTTTTGATCAACCTCCACTTTTTACTAACCCTTCTATTGAGCTTTTTCCTAGTGACTCTGATGCAAATACATTTGATGAGCTCCATGATGCCTCTCCACATGCTCCACCTGGTTCTATAGAAGATGTTTTGCATGTTGGTAATGCATTAGACAATGCTAAGTCTTCTTCCTTTACCTCTTCTGTATCACCTATTAGATCTAACCCTGTTAATATTGAGCCTGAAAATGATTTTCTTAATCCACCTTCAAGTCATCCTACTCAGGTAAGAAATCTTCCTATCTATCTTCGTGATTATCATTATTTTCTTGCTATTACCTCCTTACATGAGCCTTAGTCCTACCAAGAGGCCTCTTCTAACCCTCTTTGACAACAAGCTATGCAAGATGAATTACAAGCTCTTGACAAAACTTGTACATGGTATTTAGTTAATCTTCCTGTTGGAAAGCCTCTAGTAGATTGTAAATGGGTGTACAAGATTAAAACTCGGTCTGATGGTTTCATGGAGCGTTACAAAGCTCGTTTGGTTGCTAAAGGATTTACTCAGGAATATGGGCTTGATTATAAGCAGACCTTTGCACTTGTTGCTCGTCCAACTTCAGTTCATAGTTTGATTGCTATTGCTATTGCTACTGCTAAAATATGGAAATTGTTTCAAATGGATGTGAAAAATGCTTTTCTAAATGGTGATCTTGCAAAGGAAGTTTACATGAAACCACCTCTTGGACTTGAGCATCCTCGAAACAAAGTTTGTCGATTGAAGTGAGCTCTAGATGGTTTGAAACAAGCACCTCAAGCCTGGTTTGCCAAGTTTAGTACCACCATCAGTGAATTTGGTTTTACTTCTAGTCCTCATGATATTGCGCTATTCATACGCAAGACTAATCATGGTATAGTTCTACTACTTCTTTATGTTGATGATATGATCATTACTGGGGATGATATTTCAAGTATTCATGATCTTAAGCAATTTCTTAGTCATAAGTTTGAGATGAAAGATCTTAGTGTTTTGAGCTATTTCTTGGGACTTGAGGTCACCTCTTCTAATGATGGTTATTTTTTCTCCCAAACAAAATATGCTTCTAATCTTATCTCTAAAGTTAGACTCACTAACAGTAAGACTGCATCTACTCCTCTTGAGCTAAATGTTCGATTGACATCCATGGATGGTTCTCCATTAGCTGATCCTACTTGCTACAAACAGTTGGTTGGAAGTCTAATTTATCTCACTACAATATGACTAGACATAGCTTTTGCAGTTCATGTTGTTAGCTAGTTTATGGCTATGCCTCGCTCCACTCACTATGTAGCTGCACTTCGCATTATTTGATATATTAAAGGTATCATGTTTCATGGCCTTCACTTTTCTGCTCATTCATCTCTTGAACTTCATGCTTACTCTAACACTGATTGGGCTGGAGACTCTAATGATCATAAATCCACCACTGGATATTGCCTTTTTCTTGGTGATTCCTTAATCTCCTAACGTAACAAGAAGCAAACAGTTCCATCGTGTTCTAGTATAGAGGCTAAATATCGAGCACTTGGAGACACCACATCAGAGTTACTTAATTTACATTGGCTACTAGAAGATATGGGTGTTTCTCAACCACCTACTACTAATCTTTATTATGACAATCAAAGTACCATGCAGATTGCTCATAATGATGTCTTCCATAAACGCACTAAACACATTGAGGTTGACTGTCACTTTGTTTGCCATCATGTTGCACAAGGAACTATTCATTTGGTCTTTATTGGCTTCGCTGATCAACCAACAAACCTTTTCACCAAGGCTCATTTCCCTGGACACTTTCGCACTCTTCTTTTCAAACTCAAGTTGGTTTCCTCACAACCACCTTGAGTAACTTGAGTTTGAAAGGGATGTTAAGATGCGAACACAATAATTTAAACTATATTCACACTTATTGTAAATATTTTATATATTAGAATATTCTCTTTATATACTTTATATCTTAAAATATTTTTTTTGTAAACACCTATATATAAGTTATTGTACATACAGTATTATTCAAAAAAGCAACAAACAATTTTCAAATACTTCTCCTTCTTTTCAATTTCTAACAGTTTGCAACATGAAATGCTGCTACGAGTGCGTGCTTACAGTTAGATCTTGCAGCAGGTTTGTAGGAAATTAAAGCATGAAAAAAAATTAAAAAAAATAAATAAACATTTGCATTTAAGAAGTTTGAACCACCCAAAGTAGTTTGGCCGAGATTTAAAGTTGAAGGGGGTACAGCTATAAATTAAAAAAAAGTTTGTCTAAAATGTGTTTTAATATTACAAATTAAATATATATTAAGTATATATTGTTATAAATTTGTATTAAAAATAAAAATTAATATTTAATTTATTAATTATTTAATTAAATTCATCTATTTAACATTACACTAACATTATAATTAATATTAATTTTTATATATTTTTATAATAAAAAAATATTCTTAATCTGTATTCATAGACTATAAAAAGTGTTAGAACGATAATGTTATATTTTGAATTAGGAAAGGGAAATAACGGATTTAGGTGATAAAAACTGATATAATTGACAATTAAGAGCTTATTTAGTGAAACTTTTGGAGTTTTTACTTTCTTTTTTTTTAATTGTTTATGAGTGATAAGTTTAAATTTTTATTGAAGGAAAAATTTAAAATTTTCTTTTAAAAATAAGAAAAAGTGAGTAAAAAGTGAATAAAAAGAAGGTTTACAAAAAATAAGAGTTTGAAAATTTTGAGTTTTTATTGTTTGAGATTTTTTTAAGGTTAAAAAATATTTAAAAATATAAATACTTTTAAAAAAATTTAAATTTACAAAACATAAATAGTATCAAAAAACTGAAACTCCAATAAATTGAGCCAAATAGGTCCTAAGTTTAGATTTGCCTTTCTTTTTACCTAATAATTAAAATAATACTACATTTTTTAATTTTATAATTAAACTTAATTTTTTAAAAATATTTTAGGGGGACCTGGTCTAGCTCCACCCACTAACCTAGGCTAATCCTCCTTAGAAATATTGAACTCAGCCGGGAGAAAAGCACTTCTTGGGAAGGTAGTGCTCTCCTTGTTTATAAGAAAATGATTAAGGAAATAATTGGTATATTTTTTAATTTAATAATTAAAATATAATATGTATATATATAAGATAGTTAGTTTAATTAATTTTTATATATTATATATAATTATATTTTTAAGTTTATTTAATTTTAATTTTAAATTAAAAATAATAATTTTTAAAAAAATATATTATATAATATATTAAAATAGAGATATTCTAAGCACCAATGCTTATATTATCAGCAAGTTCTAGTCAATGTCAATAGACTAATTAATCTCCTTTATCCTCATCCTCTCTAATTGCGTCTTTATGGAAAGTGATCACTACACCTAATTTTCATTTTCTAATCTTTCTTATTCAATATTACGTACTCACCGTATCATTCACATTGTACATGCTTACATATGTATCCATTACATATATAAAAAATATAAAAGTCCATCTTCATATTAGTCAATGTCATGTAAATTACCCCAGCACTACCTTCACCTAGATTGTCACCCAACCATTTAATTAGTCTCAGGACGTACATATTTTCCAAGGTAATCTATATATCATAGGCTGATGATAAACAAAGTAGAACTATTATAATAACCCCACTTAGATTAATTACATTTCTTTGACTTTAAATTAAGCATCTAATTATGACTACTAAATGGATATACGCGGACCTTTTTCCAGATTCCATGTTCTAAACTTTTTTAACAGACATTCATTAACTTGTGGTGTTAGATTTGTGCAACATTAGCTCGACCTTAACTTCAAAGCAGCTACTTGCTTCGTAGTCGTCTATAAGGCAATTGTTTTAGACGAAATTGGTGTAGTTTATTAGTTTTTAATAGAATTTATAATTTTATTTAAAAAAAAAAAAAAAAAAAAAAAAAAAAAAAAAAAAAAAGGAAGAAAGAAAGAAAACTTCAAAGCAGCTACTAGGCATTTTTCCTCTGAATATGTTGGTAAAGGCTTTGTCGCGTAGAAGCAAGTTGAAAAAAAGAAAAGATCTGTTGTATGGAAAAGAGAAAAAGAAAGGATCTGTGGGAGACGATATTGTATAAATTATTCTCTCTCG